CACACACACACACACACACACACACACACACACACACACACTGGGTATATATCTGTTGTAAAATAAGAAGAACTCTTGACTTTTGTAATGGTCAACTACATACGTTACAAACTTCTTCTAATCATCTGTTTAGACTTAAGACTTTTTGTTGTTTTTTTTTTAAATTTTTTTCATTATGTAATAGCCTTCTCTTGTCATTCAGTGATGCACTACTTTTTAAAGTTTCCTGTAATTCATTTGAAACTAGCCTGGATCAGGTAGTGTAATGTAGACTGAAGTCTCCAGAAGTCACCACTGCAGAAACRTCATTAACCTCTTGGAAATGATGATTTTTGTTTCTTGGTAATAAATGTGAGACACCAAATGTCTTGTGTGAAATACCAGCTTATTGTGTGATATTGTGATATCAGTGGAGCTGAGTAAACACAGGAGGTAAATAAGTAAACCAGTGCAACAGTCTCTTTATAATTTGAACAAATTGTAATGTATTATTTCTTCAGAGGCACACACATTTTTCTATTTAATTTTCACTCTTTAATTAAATGTCATTTTGACAAGAATGTATTCAAAACCACTAAGAGCTTGTCCACTGCTCCAACTGTAGTGGCAGACTTCAGATGTTAAATATTTATATGTACCATTTTAGTACAAAAGTAAAATTTATGAATCTTGCCAAATGTTTTGGCTGTCATGTTATTCTCAGCACCTTTTCCAATTTTAGTTTAATTTAGTTTTGATGCCTTTCAGACTATAGCTACTGTCTTTTGCTGAGCAATTTTTCTGCCACTTAGGCCTCGATGAATCATCACTTTAGTACGTACAGATCCATGAGCAAACCTGATGGCGCACACAAAGCTGATTTATTAACGGTGCGCAGCGAGGACTGYGTCTGTCAGATGAACTAAACAGCAGCTGCAACCCATTCAGCCTGTCTGCCTTCATAAATATGCAAGTGTTATGATGATTAACAGATTATTAAACTGTTTGCTCCATTGTTTCAGTGACCATGTCTATGATTAAACGTCAGGTGCAAAGTGTCTGCACAGCTTCAGATGCTGTTATTCTGTATAAATATCCCACTTTAATATAGATTAAAAAAGCACATAACTGCAGCTCAGCAGCTTTAAAAAGTATAAACTTCATCTCACGGGGTTGTTTTTTATTTGTTTTTTGTTTTTTTCACATTATCCAGAGCTGGGACAGAGGAGCTTTTTCTTTTTCCTTTCGGAGTCTTTCTCMAAATACAGCCTGCATTACAATAATTAGGTTGCACTCTGACAGTACACACATCTAATGTGATTTTTGTTTTCCTTTAAACAAATGAGAGCTCACCTTTTTCTGTTGCTACCTTTCAGTCAACTCTGCTGCACCCCGCGGTGTCCACTGGACATCTGTTTGCTCTGATCAGCGGGTCACAGGTCAAGAAGCTCCTGCTGACATTTACCTGAATTTTAATCCTCATGAATGTATTTRCACAATAAATCTGTAAGGTGCTCACATTACACCAGATGGGGCAGGGTGTGGGGGTGAACTCTCCTGGAGGGGCAGAGATGACAGCT